CACAGAACCAACTTTCAGATACTCGAGCAAATGCACACAGATGCGCACACACACAGACACACACACACACACACACACACAGCGTGTGCAGCGTCAGTCAGTGAGTGGTGCCTCGTAAATAGGATTCATCTTGCTGCGCGGGCAGCCGCTGTTTGACTCTGTTTTTGCCCCCCTGCCCCAAACTCCGCTTGGCTCAGTTTTTATGCTTCTGCACAAAATGCAAAATAATGTGGCAACATTTGGCCCTGCCTCCGAGCCGCTGTCGTCGTCGTCCTCTGTTCTCGTCAGACACTCAAGTAGATGGGCGGGCAGAAAGGCAGAAGGGCAGGCATGCAGTCGGGCAGTCAGTTAACTACCATCCATCCAACCATCCAGCCATCCATCCATCTATCCAACCGTCCATGCAACCGTTCGCTGTCTATCCGTGCGTTCATTTGCGTCTCGGCTAGCCAAACTTTCGAGTATCTCTGAACGTATGTACGTGCATATCAAGTGTACATCTTTTACTCGATTTTCGCTTTGGTTTTTTATACTCTTTATGAGAAATAGAATACAAAGGATCTACAAATTTCTACCCAATAGAAACCATATGTATTAAACTCTATACTTGAAGAAATCAAAAAAAGCACTCTATGCGCTTTGATTAAAACCTTTTCCTTAAATCATATGTTTAAAATGGTTATTTCGAATGAAATTCCATTGCTATTTTAAGAAGTTTATTTTACTCTTCACATTCTGTCTTTATTTTTATTTTCTTTTAAACTATTATAAAAGTATAAATAATCAAATTAAAATGAATTCAACATATGAAAATGCTTTAATGAAGCATAGAAAATTTCCCACAGTTTATTTATAGACTTTTATATAGCGCCCACTTTTATGTAACACCAACATTACATCCATTGTAAAACCATAATGCTTGCATTTATTTAGATCACGAAATATATTCTCTATAAGCTCGCAGTTTTTTCATGTACATTGCTTGTTTCAAATAGTTCTGCAGTGCAAATTGAAGTGCATATATCTTTAAGGGTATTGAAATTTCGTCATTAATAAAATTGTTTTTCATTTGCTTATCGCAAAAAAACCTTTTTTTCCTCTTATTTGGATTTTGTGCGCAAGTTGCGTTCGTGGTTTTGGTTAGCATGAAATTACACTTTTTCGCTGCATGTACTCCTTAGTTACATATGTATATATTTAGGTATTTCTATATATACATATGTATACGTGTATAGGTAAATAACTACTATACAAAGGTTTCGTTATAGTTATGCGCCTTTCTGTCTGCCTGAGTTTGGGTCCTTGCTTGGCATGCGGCAAAAAGAAAAAAGGAAATTAAAATTGCAATTTAAATCAGATTATTTGATTATCTACGAATTCGACATAAGAAATGTTTAGTCAATGAATTTTATTCTTTTAATATAAGGAAATATTTTCAAAATGTTCAGAAAATGAACGGCTATATTTGGCAAACCGAAAACTAAATACCCTTACTGTTAAATGAAGTAATTATTGAATTTGGTGATCTTGATACCATTGGCTCATATGCAAGAAGATTACTTTAAAATAAACAGAAAAGTTTTTCATTTATGAATTGTTTCTTTTTTATACGGCAACTATATAATATTGTAACGGGTTCCGACATATTGTATGTACTGCCTGCAACAGAAAGGCGGATTATGCAAAGTTTCATGACGATAGCTTTAAATCTGATCGAATAGTTTGCATAGAGACAGACGTACGAACAGACGGAGAGATAGAAACGGTTAAGTCGATTCGGCCATAGATATTGATATTGATCAAGAATATTATATAATTCTTGAATTCGGAAGTATCTCCTTCGATGCGGTTATTACGAAAATATTATACCCCCTACAAGGATATAAAGGAAATCATGCTAATAACTAATAATAATTCATAAAAAGTTAATATAATATAAAGTAGTTATTGTTAGCTATTATATTACATTCTTCTTTATTCATTTATGGTTGGTTTTCCACAGTAATAATTTTATGATTGGTAACTGATTCCAAAATTATAAAAGTTCAATTTCGGAGATGGAATGTTTAAAAAATAATTGATTGATTTTCGTGAGCTTTTGGATAATAATTCGACACAGTTTACAGCATGCCTAAAAAATTGTGAGGCATTCATCTAGAAGTATTTTTTATTCGTATTTGGATATTTCTCTCCCCCCGATGCACACTTATTGTTATTAAGAGCACACGCGGCGCGGCTTTTGATGAACGTTGCTGCTGGCAACGTTCCTTCAGCTGTTCCCTTGCCACCGCCACCCATATATCGCCTGCTCGCGCTACACGCTTTGTTGCACAGTCGTCTCGTCTTCAGCAAAGACGTCTTGAGCTTTGGCACCGACGAAAATTATTGTGCCCAGTGCCTAAAAATATGAAACTCTCAACGTTGCCAGGACAATTTCACAGTAAGCGACTATGCGGATGTGAGTGTATGTACGTGTGTGTGTGTGTGTGTATGTGCATGTTGAATGATGTGAAAGACGGCATCTCCCGCTGCTAGCTCTGGGCAGCTGTAAACGGACGGCAGTTGCGCTTGTTAAATTCTTCTTATGCTTTGTTTTGCTGTCGATAATGGCGGCAATAGCTACACACACAAATGCACGTATATACGTACATATGTTTATGAGCGGGACAGGCGGGGGGTCTTAGCGTTGGATTCGTCTCATGCTTCAATTCCAATCGCTGACAACGTCTCGAGCCGCGGCAATGTAGGAGAGGCGATGGCAGCTCTTTGATGCTTATGCTCGTTTATCCTACGCCTTCGCCCTGCTTTTCGCTGTGTTTTTCTGTTGCCGCCTTATCCGTAATTCCTCATTTTATTTTTTGCCCGTTCGCTCTTTGTGTCTGCCCGACGGAGCCCTCCCGCCTCCACCCTTGCATCAGACATATGCCTTTCGCTGGCTTCTTATGCTCGCTAGCTCCATTTTGGCCTGGCCTTATGCAAATGAATACTACCTGCTGCTGCTGATGTCCCTCAGTAGTTGTAAAAGGACAACCAATCTTGGTATTATGTAAATTGATCGCCTCTGTTGTTGGTTTTTCATTTCATTTTCTAAGCAATGTTTATATATATTTATAAATATATATATATATATAAATTGCTGCCACAAGAGCAACATCAACAGCAACAATATGTTTAGCAGCAGCAACAACAAAATTGAACTTTTAATTGAAAAAGTACCTCAGGAACGCCTCCTAGTTAAATATTTAAAAGCTGATTTAACTTAACGGCAGCACGTGCATCCAAAAACCTTTTTGGGTAGCTACTTTTACGCTCTGTATGACATCTTATTCAGATTATCTTTTTTTTATGTCTACCGAATATCAATGTATCTCTTACTTTGGCATTTCCTGATATACTTTCCATGAATACATTTTATAGCTTCTAGATTGTCTTTTATTCGTATCATCATCAAAAAACACTCGTATTCTTTATAGTATGAAGTTATATCTCTTGATTTGAAAAGAGTGTTTATCTATATTTTACGAACATTTTCTCAACTTATGAACGTGTTTAAACTTAAGAGGTTTCCAAGCAATATATTCTAAAAAACTTGGCCACATCCCAGACCTAAGTAAATATGTCTAAGACAAATGATTGCCTGTTGACTAAAATTTTCGAAAAAAGCTGGCAAAAGAAACACTTAATTACAAACACAAAACAGAAACCAAACAGAAAAATAAGTATAAATAATAAGTGAACTTTAATTCAGAGCTAACGACTTAGAGATACCCTGTAACTAACTATGCTTCTTATTAAGTTGCCTTATTCCAAATCCCAGTTTTACATTGTTGTATCGTTAAGGTGGGAATTCGACTGTTTCTGATATCACGTGAAGATTTTTATTGCTTTCTTATTCTGAGGGTGAAAATAAACGCTCTGCATTTATATAATATGCAAATTGATTCATTTGTTGAATAAAATGTTCAAAAATTGATTTCTTGTTTGCAACCAGTCAAATATGCGATTTGAATTATGAGCGCCTTTCTATGTGCTTCTCATGATCCTAAGTATAACTTACATGATTTTCATAAAAATTAAGATAGACTGTCTGTTTGTCGATTTCGCTTTCGGTTGTTCTCTACTTTTCTCCATTCAACTACTTTAGATTTTTTTTAGTGGAATAAAGAAAAATATTTTTAAAATTTATAAATTTATAAACTTTCTTTCGTCTTATGTGAGAAGGCTTTCGATCCCAGTTAGATTATTATGTGCATAACCTTATTATATTCTTTAAAGACATTCAACAAGGTAGAGGGTGTCGACAAAAAAAGAAAGCGAACCAATTTGAAAAGGAAGAAGTGCAAGAAACTGGTTTGGTTTTTGTTTCTGTTTCTGTTGGACTCGCGGCTCTGTCCAAAAATATGTGATTGTATTGACTCACTCCCCGCTGCTGAGCTGGTTAGTTGGTGCCTCGAAATGTGTTAAGTTGCCTCGTTTTGTATGCACAAAGGCAGCCACCAGCAACGGCAACTGTTGAACGGGGCAAGGGCGGAATGCGGGTGATGGCCCAGCCGGCGGCAAATTGAAGCGTTTCAGCTTCAAAATAAACAAACTTGAAATGGCGCGCAATTTTGCCCACTTACACAAGTAGATTGTGTATGCGTGAGTGTGTGGCCTGAGAGTGTGTATCTGCAAGATACTCTGTTGCTTGTTTGCTGTGTGTCGTTCGCTTGTATCTATCTGATGTTTTCAGTTGGGCTCTGGTCACGTACAAGATTGCTGGCCCCAAATGGTTGTCGATGCTTATGCCTTGCCTTGGTGTTCATTATGGACAACTCGCGGGCCCTCGGTTACACGATACTCAGTCGGCCAATAAACACGCCTGGACCCTGACATTAGTGGGTCAATGGTGGTCCCATAAAATACCATGAATAAGTGCACTTCTTCCTAATGTGCACATACATACTCGTACATGTTTATTCAATGAGTACTAATTCTTTATTTTGCCTGTGTATTTGCAGGAATATTGTCTCCTCCGGGTCCGTTTCTGACGCCCAGTCCATCGCCATCGATCTCAGCTAGTCCACGCCTGCAACCATCACCATCTCTATCGCCATTCCCACAGGATGTGGTGCTCGTAGCCGGTGGCAATGCAATAAACGCCAACAGCAATCCACAGGAACACGTAAGTCTAATCACATCTACTTGCTTTTATGGGTTATCTCTGTGGAAGCCATTAATCATCTGATCCCTTACAGGAGCGCAAGGCGGCGACGCCTGGCAGGCGACAATCCATACATCAGTTCACAAATGGCAGTCCCAATGCCGGCACCGTTGTCTTTCAACCGAGTCCCTCACAGTCACCGGCCGCTGCCACGACGGTCATTGGCGTGACAGCTGGCGGTCTTATAGCCGCCGCCGCTGCCAGTGGCCACAATAATGCAATCGGAACTGAGCTGAACGCCACACTTGTCGGCTCCAATAATATACAACTGAACAAGGTATATTTAATTGAGTTGCAACGCTTACAACCCTCCTGATAAGATAAGATCCCTATCAAATTGGAGCACTGATAACTGATAATGAAACAAATTTACATTCTATTGCAAAGCTGATGCAATCTTGTATATAAAATGCAAGTTTAATGAATTACCTCACAAAATTATTTAACTTTTATGGATAATTAATACTTGAATATTATTTTAATTTTTATAACCGTTCAAAATAGGTAAAATGGGGAAAACGGGCTTGTGCAAACTATATAATAGGCTCCAAAATTTAAGAGTTAGAGACTTAAAATTTTAAATGTAGGTCCTCCTGGTGCAGCAAAAGATTGATTTCGTTTTAAAGCATCTGAAACTCTCCCGTTTTCATGAAACCGATATTCTGCTTTTTGAGCTATAGCCACTAGATTTGGTATGTAAACTCTTGCATAGTATGTGAAGATCCGGAATATTACATCTTGTAGAAAATCCCTACAAAATTGAAAAAGCATCCGCATTTTTGGAGATAGAATCTTTGGCTTGTTGAGCTTGCACACATTTGGATATCATATATATGCTCTGAACATTTCCCGCTTAACACCGAAATTAATAACGAAAGGAAAAACTAATTACCCATAGAGTGGGGCCAATAATCGAAGAAACACAGAGTACACTATCTATAGAATTGTTTGCAATAGCGATAATCATACGTGTTTTATTTTTCTTTTATTTATTAGGTTCAAGCCTAATCAAACGCATTTAATTTTAACTTAAAGAAGATTTAAACTTTGTTGTTAAACTCGAATCTTTAGGCTTAAGAAGGGTCATCGAATAGAACTTTCTGCTTCTTGTTGACACCATGGAACCAAATTGGAAAATTATTTTAATAACTGTTATATTATGCAGTTAAATAAATTTATTGCTTCGGTTGCAAGATTCACTAGCTCACTAAGACAATTCTTATATATTCTCTACTTTGCCCACATCTCATAATAGGCCTATCCAATGACAATCTAAATGATTGTTGGCTCAATTCAAAGTTCTTTTATCTAATATCTACTAGATGTCAACTTTTTGACAAATTATTATTATTAATTTTATTATTATTATTATTATTATTATTATTATTATTATTATTATTATTATTATTATTACTGTTATTTTTAATTGTATTATTATTATTATTATTGTTATTATTATTAATATTATTTGTTGTTGTTATTACTATAACTGTTATAATTAATTGTATTATCATTATTATAATCATAATTTTATTATTAATTTTACAAGTTAGTTATTATATTATTTAAAATCAACTCATAAATATCACAGCTTAATGGTGCTGTCTAAGCTGCTCAATCATGTTTACATCAATTTCTGATTTAATCGTTTTATTGTTTATTGCTTTTAAATTCTAAGACCTTGGCAAACAAGTCGTCAAAGTGTAGTTAATGATTGTCAAAATGAATGAATTTGAATTAAAAATTTTCATTCGTTTTCCAGAAGGGCAACAAGCGGACTGGGCAGCACCAGCAACAACAGCATCAGCAACTACAGCAGCAGCAACTGCAACATCAGCAGCAGCAGCAAATCTTTAGCACCAGCGCAGCGGCGCCCACCTCGATTTCGACGGTAGCCGGCGGCTATGGGCAACCGAATGCAACGGCAATCAGTACGCCCCTTTCGTTTGCGACAGCAAATGTGGCTAGTGGCCCAAAAGGTCAAGCGAAAAAGGGCACTACTTCGGGGCTGAGCCAACAGCAGCAGCAGCAGCAACATCAACAACAGCAGCACTTGCAGTTCCAACAGTATCAGAGCAGTAGTCCGCTGATAGCGGATAGTCCTATTCCCAGCCCCAGCAACGCGATTGCTGCTGCTGCCATAAAACCGCCAACGCCGCAGCCTCAAACCGTACAGATGCTTCCACAGCAGTTCACCATCACCAGCGGGCCGCAGCAGCAGCAGGCGCCGCAGCAAGTTTTTCAGTTCATTCAGGGCCCTCAGGGTCAAATCATAGCTACCACGCAGCAGGCGACGCTTCAGCAACAGCATCTGCAACAGCAGCAGCAACAGCAGCAGCAACAGCAGCAACAACAACAACAGCAACAACAGCAACATCAGCAGCAGCATCAGCAACAGCATCAGCAACAGCAACAGCAGCAGCAGCAGCAGCAACGTTATACCAGCAATGCAGGCGTTTCGTTGTCCACTGCGCCCACGAAGGCGAGCAAGGCGCCCCAACAGATACTGCCCAAGCCGCAACAGGAACTGGGATCTCATTCGATGCAACAGCTGTCGAAGAGCAAAAATATCAGTAACAGCAACGCACAATTGCCGCAGATCTCGCAGTCGACGCAGCCACAACAGGCACAGCTCAATGCTGCAGCCAACAATGCCAACAACCAGCAACAACAGCAGCAAATTTTGCTGCCAGCGACATCATCACAACCACAGCAATTGCTGCTGAATCAGATGCCCGTCCTGGTGCAGCAGAATCCGCAGGGTGTACAGCTCATATTGCGTCCACCCACGCCACAGCTGACGACGCCCTCTCTGGTTATACAGAATTCGCGTGGACAGCCGCAACTGCAGCAGCCGGCACAACAGCAGTTGCTACGTATTGTGGGCACCAATGGAGCCACCATGCAGCTAGCCGCTGCCACACCCACATTTATAGTGTCCTCGCAGGGCAACCTCATTCAGCAGACGGCTGCCGCCGGCCAATTCCAAAGCGCCATAAAGACTGGCACGCAGCTAAGCGGTCTGCATGCGGCGCTGGCGGCGCAGACGCCACGATCTCAGCCGTTTACCACAACGGCCACCATCAACACCCAATTACTGGGTCAGAGTGTTGCGGCACAGCTGCAAAATTTACAGCTAGCCGCTGCAGCGGCTGCCAATGGCAATGGCATTGCCCAGATACAAATGCCGAATGGACTGGCGGCCATTTCGCAGCTACAACAGACACTAGGTGGCGCCACCATCAATCTGAATCAGTTGTCTGGCGCGCACCTGCAACAGATTGCCAGCGCCTTCCAGACGCCGCAGCCACCACAGCAGTCCACAGCGTCGGGAGCGACCAGTGGCAACGGCAACAATTCCGCAGAGCTGTTTGCTCAATCCTCGCCAGCGCATGTACCGCTGGCCGTTACACCGGAGCCAATGCGTCAACCGACGCCGCAGCAGCAGGCGGCCATGGCCACCATACAGCTGCAGCATCAGCAACAACAGCAGCAGCAAGCGCAAATACATCAGCTGCAGCAGCAGCTGCAACAGACACAGACACAGGTGCAGCAGGCGCAACAACAGCAGCAGCAACATCAGCAGATTGTCGAGCCCAAGAAGAAGCCGCGGCCGCGCAAAAAGAAGCCACCAGCGGCAACTGCAACGGCAGCGACACAGCAAAAGATCGCCATATCTGCCACGCCCACTTCCACAACGACGCTTACACGAACGCCCACGCCGCAGGCACAGACTCAAACGCAAACGCAGGCGGCACAGTTGAAGTCGCCATCGCCGCCGCCCACACACATACAACGCGCCAGCAATGGCAAACTAGATCTCGGCGATGTGATGAAGTTCTGCGGCATTACGGAGGATGATGACGACGACGAAGACTATGGCATGGATGCAGTCACAAGCTCTGCAACAGCCGCAGTCAATAACAGCAGCAGCAGCAGCGGCAGCAACATCAACAACAACAACAACAACCACCATGTTGAGGAATCGCTGCCAGCAGCACCACCACCACCACCGGCGCCCTTAAGCAACGGAGTAGCAGCAGCTGCAGTCAATGCGGCAACGGGGCCCAGTTCCAACGATATTATGATCTCCATACCGAGCCAAAACGGCAGCGATGGGCTGCCCTTCACGCTGACTATACCGGCACCAGCGCCGGTCAACGAAGCCACCGAAATACCAAATATCCTCATTAAGATTGATCCAAGCGATGTTGCGGCGGCATCGTCCGCTTCCGCTGGAGCAACTGTACCACCGTATACGCTATCAACGCCGCGCCTGCCCACCGCCGAGGAAATTCAACGGCAGGCGCAGCAACATCTCGCCCAGCAGGCAGCCGCTGCAGCAGCCGCCGCTGCGGCTGGCGCCAAAATCTGCACCAGCATACAGACCACAACGCCGGCGCCAACGATTAGCTTCAGTCTGGGCACACAGGCCCAAACCATAGGCAGTGTCACGCTGCAGCCGACCTCCGTTGCGGCAAGTATAACGCTGACCACGCCCACGGTAACTGGAACGGCAACAGCGACAGCCACTGCGCCGAGCTCGGCAACAGCAGCAACGACGGCCGCGGTTAAGCCGCGTCGCAAACCCGCCGTGCGTCGCAACACCAAAAAGCAGGACATGCTGAATAGCAGTGCCAGCAACGTCAGCAATGCCAGCGGCAGCAGCAACAACAACAATATGAACAATGGCATCATTGGCAGCAACAGCACTACCACGACCACCATCAGCAATGGGAGCAGCTGCAGCAGCGCCGTCAACACTGTCAACACCATCACATTGACAACTCCTGTGAGCAGCAGCAGTACTTGCAGTTCCAGTATATTGCTGCCGCACGGCCTTGGACTGGCAGGCAGTAGCAGTGGCACCGGCAGTGGCAGCAACAGTACGCCAACGACCGTGCCCAGTCAGATTGGCAACATACAGATATCGCAGGTGCAGAATCATCATCAGTCAGCGATGCCCGTCGGCAGCGCCGTAGAGAATAAGATTCAAATAATGCCAATTCTGCCGCCTGGAGCCACCGTTATGGGCGGTTCTGTGCCAGCTGCAGGAACAGCAGCGACGGCAACAACAATTGCTGCACAGCAAGCGCAGCTCGTCTTTCAGTCAACGCCAGCAACAGCAGCATCTGCGTCGGAAACTGCCACAATAAAGCTGTCCAGCGATGGCCGCCAGATGCAATTGGTGGCCATACCACAGGCCACGCCGCCGGCCGCAGCGGCACCATTGCAAGCTGTGACAACGGCAGGTGGTGCCACTATATTGCCACCACAGCTCACGGGGATGCCGGGTAATGTGTCCATTTCCGTGGGTTCTCCTGCTTCCGCGGCGGCGCTAGTGCCGCAACTGACAGGCAGCCTAACGCTGGCCGTGTCGGAGCACTGCGAGCGGCTTATTTTGCGTCATGATCCGAACACGCCGCAGGATCACCAATCGCAGCTTATACTTCAGGCATTGCTCAAGGGCGCCCTGCCTAATGTAACCATCATCAATGAGCCAACGCGCATGGACAGCAACAAGCCACCAGCGCCAACGCCCCCGCCTCCGCCACCACAACAGCAGCAACAACAGCAGCAACAACAGCAGCAACAACAGCAGCAACAACAGCAGCAACAACAGCAGCAACAACAGCAGCAGCAACAACAGCAACAACAACAGCAGAAACAACAGCAGCAGCAACAACAACAACAGCAGCAGCAGCAGCTGCAATTACAACAGCCGCAACAGACGCAGTTGCCTATAACAACAACAACATCAGCTCAGCAGCTGCCCAAAGCACCAGCAGCGCCAAAGAGCGAAGTCAAAGGTAATAGATTACATACAACGCTACTTTTCTCATGCTAACTCTATCCTCTACCCATTTGCAGTTACTAACAACAGAAAGCTGTCCACACCCGCCGCGCCCGCCAGCAATCTGCTGAGTAACAGCAACAGCAGCAGCAGCGTTACCACCAACACAAACAATTCAATTAAACCACCGACCATGCCCGCTAAGACTAACGATACTTTAAACTTTCCACAATTGCCGTCAACGCCGCAATTGCTCGTACAGCAACAGCCGCAGCAGCAGCAACAACCACATCAGCCACAACAGGCTCAACAGCAGCAGCAGCAGCAGCCGCAGGTTAACAACGCTCAACGTTATGTGGCGCTGCCACCCATCGATCCCAGTACACAGCAGTTGTTCTGCCTGAACAGCGTGTCCAATCAGATCACGGCCATCAGTGCTGGCCAAACGGCGGCATCAATTGGGCCGACGGAGCGGCTGCTGATAGCGCCCGCTGGCATCAATGCACAACAGCTGGCGCAATGCCTGCAGCTGGGTCAGTTACACTTTAACGATGTGAATCCTCTGCCGCCCACACAGCTACAGCAACAGCAGGCTGCGACGACGACAGCAACATTGCCCATTCCATTGCGTCCTCAGCCACCGCAGCAGCAGATCGTACATCCCATACAGCCTATCAGCAACGGACATGGTCTCAGCCTGGGTCTGCCCATCAGCACGACAACAACAACGACATTAACCGCCAGCGGTAATACGACAACGAATACCACAACGGTGACCAAACAGGTGGCCAATGTAGCGCCCATCATAGACCAGAGTAAGGCCAAACTAGAGCCAGCAAAGGCGACGGGCACATGCAGCACGGCAACAACTGCGAGCAGCACAGGCGCCGTAGCCAAAAAAAAGCCTGTGCGTAAGCCCAAGACGACGCCGACGGCAGCCGAGCTGGCCAGTCTGAAAAATGCCAGCGTTGTCAAGCCCATGCCGAAGCTTGATCCGCTCTCGCAGAAGCCTAACAACAATCCCGTTCAAATAGTACAGCCCAATGTGGCCAGCGGCAAGCAGATGATTGTTGTTGTCAGCTCCAGCGGCGGACAGACAACTACCACAACAACAACAACCATAATGAGCAATAGCATACAACCATTCCAGACAACAAGCGGCACCAAGTTGGTGGGCGTCACAGCGCCCATGCAGCAACACCAACAACAGCAACTGCAGCAGCAACCTACAGGGGCAGCAGCAACTGTGCAGCAGCAGCAACAGCAACAACAACGCGGCAGCTTCAGCTTAACAGCAACAACTTCAACGCCTAGCTCTGTGCTCAGCAGCAGTAGCAGTAGCAACAGCAGCAGTGGAGTAGCAATAGCATCGCCAGTTGTCACGCAGTTGCAATTGCCGGCGCAAATGCAGCAACAGCCTAAACAACAAACGCAACAGCAGCCGCAACCCGCACCCCAACAACAGCCACAACAAAACACAATTTCGCGCGTGCAAACGATCCAATTGACACCACAAATGCAGCAGGTGTTCCGCACGGTGCAAATGCAGATACAGTTCCTTACCATAAAGCTGCAGAACAAGTCCTTTGTGCCCACATTGCCAATCTCGCCAGATGTGGATCCGGCAGCAATTGCCATGTACAACAAACCTATGTCGGATGCAGAGATCAATTTGGCGCTGCAGCGTTTGTTTGCGGAACAGCATCGTATCTTGGCTTCGGGCAAAGAGGTGCCAACTCCGGAGGGCATGATTCCAACGCCCAATGCAAATGGCAGCTTTAGCCTGATGCCGCAGCAATTCCAGCAAGTGCAGCAGCAACAACAACAACAGCTGCAGCAGCAGGCGCCACAATCTGCAGAATCACTGAAACCAACAGCTGGGGGTGTTATATTAGCAAATGTGGTGCAACCAAACAATCATTCCACCACCAGCACAGCTACAGCTGCAGCAGCTATCAATGGGCAGCAACAGCAGCAGCAACAGCAGCAGCAACAACAGCAGCAACAGCAGCAGCAACAACAGCAGCAACAGCAGCAGCAACAACAGCAGCAACAACAGCAGCAGCAACAACAGCAGCAGCAACAACAGCAGCAGCAACAACAGCAGCAGCAACAACAGCAGCAGCAACAACAGCAGCAGCAACAACAGCAGCAGCAACAACAGCAGCAGCAACAACAGCAGCAACAACAACTTAATGTTGCTCAGCGCATACACATTTATCCCATGCAACATCAACAGCAGCAGCAATTGGCTAACAAACAAAAGCTAGCGCAGCAGAAGCAGCAACAACAGCAGCAGCCAGCGTCTATTTGCAACCTGCAACAGCAACAAACGCCGCAAGCAAAACCCAAGGAGCAGCCATGTCGCAACAAATCTAATACGTCCAATCAACAGCAGCAGCAACAACAACAGCAAACGCATACAACAGTCAACATGTTGCAACAGAAAACGACAGTAATGTCTGTGCCACTGCTGCAGCAACAGCAACAACAGCCCGCCGCCTGCTTAAAGAACGGACCCCCACCGCTCATCTTTGCCAGCTCCACCAATCTGCTATCCAACAGCAACAGCAGCAGTAACATTAGCAGCAATAGCAGCAGCAACAGCAGCAATAATAGTAGCAACATGCAAGGCGGAATGTTAGCCATGCCACCATTGCAACCGCAACAGCTGCAACCCCCACAACAACATCAGATACAGCAGCAACAACAACTACCGCCGTTATCGCAAGCACCGCCAGCCGCAGCGACAGCGTTGGGCAATTTAATTGCCCCAACGCTACCAACACTGCCCGTATTTTTGCCGACTCTGCCCGTGCCCAAGCCGGAGGAGTTGCTCCCCACACCAAAACCAAAAATTGCGCGCCTCTCCTTGTGAGTAGTTGGTTGAAAAATGCCGATTTTAAAGAAATGAGGCCAACTTGAATACACTTAGTTAAGACCATATTATATTATAAATTAATAGACTTTCTATTCGCAGGTTTGTGCGCCAATTGGAGGTGGATCAGGAGAGCTGTCTGAAGCCGGACTATGTGAAGCCCTTTCGCACCAAGGACGAGGCAGTCAAGAGGCTAATCAGGTGAGCTGCAGGAAGTGTTTCTATTGGTATATCTTAACTAACTCTTGGCTTATTTGCAGATATCATTGCATGCATGAGAACGATGTGGAGCTGCACTCCGATGAGGATGAGGAATTCGAGGCAACTGCTCTGGGCTTTCGCGATAAGTTCCGGCAGCTAAATGGAAAATTCCAGGAAATTTTATTGCAAGAGTCAACGGTAAATATTCCAGATGAGTACCTCCTTTTAAAACAGATTTTTAATATTTTGTAATTGTTGCAGTTGCCGCATCGCACTTCGGAGTTGTTGCAAGTGCAGCAGCTGATGATAGACGATCTGAAGGGTGAGATCAGTGATATACGCAACGCGGAGAAGGAGCTGTTGGAGAAGGAGCAGCAGCACCTCAAAGAGGAGCTGAGATCTGATGCAATAGCCGAGTATGAACCGGAAATGGATACCAAAGTTAAGGATGAAATCAAATCGGAGCCATTGGAAAGAGTGTCCGAATCAGTAGCACAGGCAACAGCAGCAGCAGTTGTTGACAAGTTCGATCTGCTTAAGAATAGTGCGGATGTGAACAAGGCATACAACAAGCCCCAGCAGCAGCACCAAACACAGCAGCAACATGTTAAGCGGGAGGTGAATGGCGAATGGCAGGGCCAGGCGGAGGCTAGCAGCAATAACAATGGCTCTGCGAGTGACCCTGTTAAGAAGGAGCAGCTCAACAGCTCCAAGGACAACCCTGAGTATATAAAAAAGGACTACGATAACTTTGATATCGAATCGGAGCTGACGCCAAGTTTTATTATGAAGAAGGTAGAGCAAAAAATGCAGACAGCTGGTGTAAAGAATGCTGAGAACTGTTACGCTGACAATGTATTGCAAGAGGAGCAACAACAGCAACAGCATCCACATCCACAGCAGCAGCAACAGCTACAACAACATGTTAAAAGTAATAACATCGGCCATGAAGATCATGACGATGGCTGGTATTGTCTTCAAAAAGAGCTTAATCTGATGAGTAATGAGGCATTGCAGTCACAGCAACAACAAAATGCGCCACTGCAACACTTGTCACAGCAACATCTGTATGATAACAACGCCGGCAGCCTGCTGAGCAATGGCAATCATCTGTCCGATCTCTTTCCCAATGGCTGCATTGACAAGAGCAATCAGAGCAACAGCAATAGCAGCAGCAACAGTAGTAGCAGCAGTTGTGGCGGTGATGTTGGCGGCAACAGCAGCAACGCTGGCAACAACAACGTGCCCATAGGCAGCTCTTCGTGCAGCCAGCAGCGTCAACAGCCGTTGGCTATGCAAGCAGATCAACCGAATCATCATCCGGCCATCAGTGAGTTCTTTAGCAGCGATTCGGATGTACAAAAGTCAGTGGAGACGCGCCTGGAGGCTATGTTTGGTGAGTCGCCGGTAGATTTGGATGTGAAGAATAGCAGTGACGCGCACGACATTGAGTCAAATCTAGATGAGATATTTGGCGATGCAAAATCGCCAACAGCGAGTCACAAGAACAAACTGAATATTTGGGCGGCAGATGCGGGATTCAGCGCCGGTTACAGCAGCGAACAGCAGCAGCAGACGTACGCACACCAACAACAACCACAGCAGCAATCACATCAGCAAGCACAGCAGCAACAGCACCACATTGAGCTCAACTGCAACAATAACCCGCGTTGGATGCAAAGCATGGAGGCTCACTACAGCGACTATATGTCCAGTAACACCAGCACAGTTGATGGCCAAGCGCACAACATGCTGGTCAATGGGGAGGCACGCAAGCGCCATTGGAATGGCCAGTTGATGGGCTCGAGCAGCGACTTGGAGGATGAGAACAGCAGCAAGCGCTTGTGCACGGCTTCGTCAACGTCCTCGTCGCCCATGTCCTCACAGCAGCATGTGCAGGTCCCGCAACATGCCATGCTAGATGCTGACATGTTAGCGTTGCACGATGGCATGGGTGTGGACGGCGTGACCAATAACGGACCCGCTGCCTTTTCACAATTGCTAATGGAGGAGCAACATCAGCAGCAACAACAGCAGCAGCAACAACAACAGCAGCAGCAGCAGCAGCAACATAGCTTTGCCAATCATCAGGCTTTCGCGAACTTGTTGGATCCACAGCAGCAACAGCAACAGCAGCAGCAACAACAGCAGCATCAACATTACCAGCACAGCATGCAACAACAGCTACAGCAGCCACAGCAGACGCAGCTGCATGTGAATCACATGGGCGCCAACTCAGTGGTGACTGGCGAGTACGACGACGATATAAGTCGGCATGTGGCTAGTGCCATTGACAGCATACTGAACCTGCAGAACAGCGGTGATTCGTTGCAGTTCTCATTGGGCTCCTTTCTGGGCGACAGTATACTGGACGATCAGCGGCAAGCGGCCAATTTGCCCAGTTGCCAGCAGGAGCAGGTGAACAATAGGCGCCGTCAGCTGGGAGAGGATATGGGAGATTGTCTGATCAGTGGTGGTGCCGGACCAGCTGTTAGTGCGGTAGCTGATGCCAGCGGCAACCTATTGCTCGATCATCATCACCATCATCATCATCAACAACAGCAGCAGCAGCAACAACAGCAGCAGCAGCAGCTACTGCAGGGCCATCTGGGTCAGCAGCAGCCACATCTGCAGCATCATGCGCAACTCCATCATGGCTTGTCGCAGGCACAGCCTCAGCATCATGCGCAGCTAAATGACTTTAGCTGTGTGGCCGCTGGCCTAGATGATGCCGTCAAGTCGATTATGACCTCTTGACTTGGGCTGCATACATCCACAACGACAGTAACTGGAGCGGCACAAAACATAGCTGTCGAGCTGCCGCCGGCGGCAACGGCAACTGTAGCCAACAGTCTTATACTGGAATTCAACGCGACCACCTTGTAAAGGACTGCCCAAGGCAATGACACATTGATTGTATATTAAGCCCCCCCCCCCCCCGCCCCCTTTGCATGTTATTTGTTCTCTTTAGTTGTTGTCCACTGTGCTGAATGAATTTGGCAACAGTTGCCACATTTTAGCATCCTGCTCTGTACAATTTTTATTTTCATTTTAGATCTAAGTTGAATGTGTAGTATAAATTGTATTAATTCTTGTTTTCGTTTTTAGTCCAATGTGTTTGTACAATATTTAAAAACTAAAAGATAATGACAAAACAGCCTGGTAATTATTTTTATAAATTTATAGTCACACAATCGAATGCATTATTATGGGACAGCAGGTCCTTAAAAGTCAATAGTGAAAAGCAATTAACGCAGAGAATTGAAAACAAAACGACGAATAGCATGAAATGCTTCTTAGAGAAGTAAACTGAATTCTAATGTAATACAAATTATATAGATACAATAAATAAGTGAAAAATGCCTAGACAATTTATTAAAATTATATCTTAACTATCAACAAGTGAAAAGGAACGTAAACCAATCAAAGAAACCTATAAAAGAATAAACAGTAATTGCTTTGGCGTGCCGAAGATTAGTAAATACGCTTGCCGACGTACTAAACAATATTGTTTGGCTAAATTGGCTAATTTACACTTAAATTGTCCGAAAATTTTTACTGAATTGTTGATAGAGATTTTAAATATAAAGCTTTTCGTACACGTGATCTGATCTGATAAGTTCCAATGCCAAGTTACAGCTCCAAAACTGAGAGCAAAAATACGTTATGTTCAAAAATATATAATACGGATGGGCCAGGGCTCGTATCTATCAAGTGTGCCGCATTTCGTGACTAAATTATTGCACGCGATTGGTTGTGTTATACACAATTAAGTTGGTTGGGAGGAATATGCCAATCGAGAGAGCATTCAAAATTCATAATTAGAATTATGCAAACCAATTGTAACTACGTTGCCAATTTTGTTGAAATGAGAACAAATGAAATACAACAACAAAAATCGATATACAATACAACAAAATTGAAAACATATACATTAAATTATTTATTATTAAGCATTTGTACATATATATATATATATATATATATATATATATATGTGAAGCATGCGTCAGTTTCAACAATCGCAGTTTTTAATACAAATTAAAGGATTTGCTCTTAGTGTATAAATGTTTATAAAAAAGCATGCACAAATACGTAAAGTAAACTAAAATAATTTAATAAATTCAATCTAAGCAATTTAAATTTATATTATTTAAAAAACGCGTAACGTCTGTCTGCTTTTGAGCTAACAAACAAAATACACTGAGAAAAATATACACATGTATGCATTAATAATTCGAATAACAAATGTGCTCAATTTTAATTAGAAAGCTGTAAGCCAAGCGCCACCTTGGCTTTGACTACGGGTGACATTATTAATGAAAATTTAGGGAGTTTCAAGAGTCGAATGACTCCGACAGATGACAAAACGACGAACGACGAAGCAAACCAAAAGCAGTTCAAAAGTAAAAATCACAATTTTAGCAAATTTAGTTTAAATCATTTATAAATTGTAAATGATATACTTATAAATGCATAGAGTTGTGTGTAAATTGTACTTCAATAACAGAACAAAAAAAAAAAAAAAAAAATCACAAAAAATATTTGTAAACGAATCGTATCACTGTATCTTGATCTTCATCTTGCCACAAATCTGATTTGTGATTTGTGCCACGTTTTAAATATCGATGTCTGATTAGCTTGTAACACAACTTAGAACAGATACATGAATCCATAAACAGTAAGCAACAAGAACTACGAACTTAATCCAAATATTGTAAATGTTAGGAAGCCGCGCATAAGATTCACACCACAAAACAGAAAATGTTTGACTTGAGTAATCAGTCGTCCGTATCACGTATTATTGCAATCCAGTTACAATAAATACTACTACTTTAAATAACTCCACCCCAACTGCAAAAAAAAAAAACAACCAGCTACTACAAAACCTAGTAAGCTTTGGTATGGAATGTGACTAAATTACGATATACTCGTAAGACACGTAGTTTGTAAGTAAATGATTGAGTGGTACCGGTACCATTCAAATTGTGTGTATTACTATATCGAGTTTAATTGGTTTAGATCCCGACTTACTCATGCCCTATTATCTGTATTGATTTATGAAACAGATGCGCACGCAACACTTTCTAGTTGTTAAACAAAGACAAATAATGAAACAATTGTATAAAAATTTATATGTAATAGCTAAAAGTTAAGTTAGTCAAGAAAAATTGCATTCGATATTATAGCTGCCGGTGAAAACAAATGCAAACAGAACTTATCACTCGCTAGGAGCACAATTCAATTAATTATTAATTAAATTGTATCATTTATAACTTATATACCCATCGTTTCAATTTGTATTCTAAACAAAGCGGTTACTCCAAATCGGCTTCAACAGATCCTCTCCCTAAAACCAAAAAAAAAAAAAAACTCAATATCGCATAATAAATGGTTCAGCTAAATGTGTCTAAATGTAATTTAATGAAACAAAACATAAACAAAAAAAAAAAAAAAAGAAAGCAAAGATTTTTAATGCAACATTGTGAGTTTTAATTGCAGTATCAACTTAAAAGAGAAATCAAGCAAGTTTAATATTTCATAGTTTATTAAGCCCATCCATTCATAGTCGTCATAAACATTAAGTACATAATCTTATTAAAAAAAAATAAACGCTACAAATAACAAGAACCCGAATTGAAACTGAAACAAAACTTTAACAAACAAACCAAAACCCAATAAAAATGCAATCAAATCTAATGCATGTTGTTGGGTGCAAGTGCAAATCGTACGCAAAAAAAAAAAAAATTGAAAAATACGTATTCATAAGAATAAACAAAATTCAGACAATTTTAAATATGCGTCTTTTATTATCTGATATTTTATAGAGGCGACTTTCTGATTAATTAAAATTTTCAGCTCAGTATATGTGAACAAACATATATTCACCTTCACCTTATCCAATATTATATGTTTAAATATTATCTAAAGACTTTATTTATTTCTTTATTTTAAAAACAGGCTAAATGTTTAATTTACTAAACAATGCATTGTGCTGGGTTTTACAAATTCAATATCATATTGGAAATTACATACACATGTACTAAGTACCTACCAGTTATTTATTGCTATATGTTATATACGATATTATTCCTAATTATAATTATCAACATTGCGGCAGTTAGAGTACTAGAGTTTTGGGCGCAACAAATTTTCGGGGCTTATAATTAGTAAATAAATAAATAATAAAAATAATGCGCTAAATCAGTACGAATATCATACAAATCATTGACATGCTTTCATTTAGCATATTTTTGATTATTATGAATTTTTGGCCAAGGGCACTTATATATTTTGCATCCAGAGCTTGGCATAGTATTTTTATTTGGCATTTGTGCTAAGCTACGACTAAGGGATACCGCCAAATTTTCACACTTCCTGGGGTTCAACTAACCTTATAACCTATCTTAGTTGGTATTGATGAAGCAATTCGGTTGCGTATTTACAATTAATGTTGGTACACGGGCAGTGGATGACCCTCAGAGTTGAAGACCCATTTTTCTAGGTCTATCTCCTTGCGATTGTCACTAAATAGCAAATAAAAGTATTTCAAAGTTTCGCTCATCCAAAAGCTTTCCATGAGATCGCGCATTCGTGTGTTTAACGTATTTTTCACATTGCCCAGAGATGTATAGCCGGCAGCTACTTTTGAATGCTTCTCAAAGGCCTGGAAAATGTTCCAGCCCATATCCTGATAAGTCCGGTTGCCGGTAAGTGCATAGAAATAATATAGACTCTCAATGAACTCGGGTCGTAGCAAATTGTGAGCATCATTGGGCTTCACATAGATGTCACTGTCATCCTTATCATTTAGCGCAAAGTACGAAATCTCAGCCGCCAATTGAGTGGGCTGTCTAATGTAGGTCTGATAGCAGGTGTCCAACAAATCCTTGGCAAGCAGTAGATGTGAGTCGGGCATGCCATTATCATGGCCCAGCAAGAGTGTGCCAGGCAAATAGCAAGTTAAATGATCCATTTTTGGTTTAAAATCATGACCATTTATCAGTTCCCCAATATAAACCCAATGCTCTCTTGGCGTGCGTCTCATCAATTGCGTGAGGACGCCATCTATTGCTTGCATATAGTCCAGAATAAGACTGACAAAGATCAATGACATATATTAATAAATATGCATATCTTTATCGTTGTTGCTTACTCACTTGTCGTTATCTTTGCGACCTGTTTGCAGCCATTGCTTAAGTAAGTACTCATAATAGGAATCTCCACGAGCACCCAGGGAGATGGTCGCATAATTCCTAAAGGTTCCTGTATTTGCATTGATAAATATTGGCACCAGGCCATGACTTTTATCCAGCGCATGTATTTTATCGTTAACTACGTTTACCACCTACGGGCAGACAATGTTCCCATTAATAAATATAACTGTAGGCACTTAACTGAATATAACTTACACGCTCAAAAATAGGTACATTAGTGGAGCGGCTGAGATCCCGAAATTCCAACTGTATGGTCGTTACTTCGCTGGTTGAACTATCCGGAGACCATTTTGGCGAATGTGCAGACCTTTCGCCTAGATTCACATCCGAATATGGTATGCCCGATGGCGAAAGAAAACTAGGTAACAAGCGATTGCCCAGTTCAGCCGCTTTGACCAAAAACATCTTGTCGCCGCTCAAATGGTAAGCAGACAGCAGTCCGCCCAGGACACGTATGGTGACCTCGAAGAGATTCACATCACGATTCGTGTGAAAGTGCAGAGAATTTTTAACCCAATCACGTGCTTCATTGAATTCTGCAAAAGCATAAGCAGTGGAATTAGTAATTCAACAACAAATATGCCATATGCCTACCATCTTCCAAGCCCATGATGTACATAGTGTCCAGAGAGTCCACAATTGACAACCCCAAACCAAACCACTCGTGTGAGCTCTGGGAAACCGGTTTTAGATTATCATGACCCCAGGCGTAAGTCTTGTACCCAGCCCAAGAGTGCTTAAAAGCCGCTACAACCGCAGCTTGCCGCTCATTGGTAGCTCCATGGAAATGCTGCCCTTTTGCCAACTCTGTTTCCATATTCTGTAGATGCGATTCAATGCTGACACCTGCTAATTTGAAGGGTTGTCTAATAGCCTCCTCTAGTTCTGTGCGAATGTTCAACGGGTCGCTGATAGCCAAAGATGACTGCTCTTCAATGGGCTGGTCTACATTATTTACTATATCGATTAGCCCATTGTTATTATCATTGATAGCGGCCACCGTTTCCGGAAGTTTAACAACGTGTTCCGCGGTATTGCCATCGGCATAGGCCATCCTGCCATCCAACTGCAATACAAACATAAAACAAAAAAATCTTTAAAATACCGGTTGTCAATAAATCAAAGCCCATAATCGTAAAAGTATGGATTGCCATTGTTATCAGCCTCAGCGGAGCTGCTCTAATGATATTTCAAGTGGGCCGCGCCCCTAACATGCTAGGTTGTGTGTATTGGAAAACAAAAGTTCATTTACTGATAAAATGCTTTTATAGCTGATAAATTAGTTAAGAAAATAATTGATTAACTGATATCAGACGTGTTGACCTACCTTATCTTTTGCCGGCTTTGTTTTAATCAGGCGGCTCCCATCTGTCATTGGAGATGCCACAGCGGCTGGAACATCGTCGTATAATTTGTTTTCCTTCTCGAGATTAGGATGGTGATGGGGATTCTGTAACGTATTTTCACGTCGTATATGAAAAGGAGCCGCTCCGGGCTTTAAATGCACATCCTTTATATTTATTAGCTGATCACCGGGCAAAAAGAGCAAAGCAGTAAAGAGAAATGCTGTTATGGCCATTATAATGAGATTACGTTGACAACGGGGCAATTGATTCCATGACTGCAATATACGTATAATAAAGAGAAACAAAACAAATTAACATGAGACACGTACTCTATAAAACCTATGATCGACAAGAAACTCGTCTATTTTATTTATCTAATACATGCCTATTTTTGGAATATATACGTGTTCAAACTTACCCGTCGCAGACTTTTGCGAGATAGGTTACCCTCATCGCCGCCAGCGCCACCTGTTATGCTCGCTATGGATGTTGAGGGTAGTGTTAGGGCAACGTGGTCGGTTTTTGTCATTTTCGTGTGACTTCTTATACCCTATCTTTCAGTATTGCAACTATGTAATTTTTATGGGATGAGACAAAAGATGGATCCACATTCGCACTCCCTTCGAACGGAAAAAATCGATGTGCACTAGCTTAAACAGCGGTTCGCTGTCATAAACTCAACTGTCAAACCAGCACTAACAATGATTTCTTCACATTGCTAACTTTAGGGTATCAGTTAACGAAATGTATACTTAACAACAATTTGCATTTCCACTAGTCTTTTCCTGTCGAAAATTTCTTATTATGGGACTATTCTCTTTTTACCCAACACTGTTATCTGCAATTACATATGTGGCCACCCCAAAAAAAAAAAGCATCTGCTAAAATGTTATTTACAGCGCGCACTGATTTGCTTGTTGAAAGTGGCCGTTATAGATTAAGTTGTTTTGAAAAGAAAGAAAGAATACAAAGTGGGAAACATTTTTAGCAAAACTCTCCTGTAAGATGGATTCATTTTTTAAATAAAAACCGGAAATTGAACCTTCGAACTGATATACTACTCCAAATGACTTTGATGAACGATAACGAGTAATGCCAGGACAGCTGTTGCTTAACATTATCCATCGAATGTGTTGGGTTTGCATTTCCTATCGAAATTGTGATGGGATTATAATTGTGGTGAACACCAAATTTTGGGCGGCAAATTATCGACTATGTTGAGATTCAAGATTATAACGCTAATATTTTTTAAGATTCGATTTGTACAAAATTAGACGGTTAATTGAAGCTCAATATTTTAGAGAAAATTCTCAAAATAATCGGTATTAATATAAAATTAAAACATTATTTAACAATGTTGAGATAGTTATTGATGTCATGTTTAAACAAAATAAAAAAAATAAATAAAAAAAATTATTTATAAATGTTGTAAATAAGCTTAATCGTAATCAATTGAAATGTATTCGTGTGCGTAATTATCAAACTGCTTTAAATATACATATGACTTATTGCAATACTATGGTGTCTGGTAGCAATAGTATTATGTTGATTTAAATAATAAACTTGTCTTCTAAAATCAACAACAAGTATTAGTTGTTTGTAAAGACATTCATGCATACATTTCTGTGGGCTTGATTATCTGGCAAGGGCGAGGTCAGTCCGGAATTGGTGATTATAAGGGGGTCTATCAAATACTAGTCGCTGATGTAGAACGAACTAGAAGAGGCTGCTAAAATTTTGCTGATAATATGTACATACATATATATTCTTATTGTGTACTGATAAAATTCCCAAATGGAACATAAGCTTTAAAAAACTTCTTAATTTTTTTATCCCGTTCCATGCCGCAATGTTAAAACTGTGGAGCAAACTTATCAACTATTGGAAATGTAAAAAAATAAATTACATTTAAGTGCTTTCAGATGTTTTTGAAAAAATATGTAGTTACGGTCTGGCTGTATTGCTTATCGCTGAACTCTTGACACATTTCAAGCTGTCGAACATAAAATCTGGACTATGTGCTGCGACGAGAAACAGCTATAAATATAGGCAACACAACCGTGGACCATTCAGTTTAAATAATTTTCTGCGACTCGGAAGTATTGAACATGATGAAGTATATGATCGTTTGTCTGGCGCTTTGCACGTTGGTCAGTAAGGAGTGCCAATAGATCTAATTGCAGCTATAATATATATGATATTTTCTCAAACACAGGCTTATGCTAATGGAGAATGGGTGCCCAAGACTGCTGATCAAATTAAAGAGATTCGCGCTGAATGTCTCAAGGCCCATCCGCTGAATGTCGACCAAATCAACAAGCTGAAGCAGTTGGAGTTCCCAGACGAATCCGAGGTTCGCCAGTATCTGTTATGCACTGCCACAAAGCTGGATATCTTCTGCACACACGAAGGCTACCATGCAGATCGTCTGGCCAAACAGTTCAAGATGGATCTCACTGAGGAGGAGGCGCTGCAAATTGCACAGGGCTGCATTGACAGCAATGTGGAGAAGAGCCCAGCGGACGTGTGGGCATTCCGCGGGCACAAGTGCTTGATGATCAGCAAGATCGGCGAAAGAGTGAAGGCCTTCATCAAGGCCAAGCAGGCAGAGGCAGCGGCGAAGGCTTAAGTTCAATAAATGTGTATTTTGTGCTTGAGCGCAAACATTGACGGAAAGTTTATTTATTGTTAAAGGCTATGCAAGAGCGCAACAAAATTAGACTACATGTGCATTGAACTATGTTTAAGTGGCTACTGAGCAATTAATTCTCTAAGATTCTTAGGCATCGCCGCCCTCGGATATGGTCTTCATAGCTGCATTAATATGCTCATCTAGCGGCAGGCTGCTGTCCAGCGCCGGGTTGCGATATCCCTCCAGGAAATAGCAGGTACCATTACCATTCGAATTGGGAAACTCCTTCGGTAGGAAGGAAGGATCGCGTGGCTGGAGATCAAAAGCAAAACCTTCGTGTTTGGTTAGCCAACTGAAATTAGTTTAAAAAAAATTAATGGTCTTTCCGATCTGCTCGAACAATAGCTTACTTTTTGGTTGTGGGGCTCACATTGATCTTCAATGCTTCGCTGCCCGACTCGAACTTGTTCGCAATGGTTACGTTGTGTCCAAACAAACAGTATCTGGGCATTTTGCGACCCACTACGCCTGCGAGCACCGTGCCAGTGTGCAGGCCGATTCGCATTTTGATTTGCTCACCATCGTGTGTTATGTGCTTGGAGCAAGCGCTAAGCATCTTCAGCGCCATCCAGGCCACCTTGTGAGCATCGTAGATGGAGGCCCGATGCAATCCGCTGGCCACACAATACGCGTCTCCAATGGTTTCCACCTTGTACACGTCAAAGAAGTCGCAGAATTCATCGAAGTCCTTATACAATCCTTCTAGCATGCTGATGACCATAAATGGTGTGGCCCGGGAGCAAATACTGGTAAAGCCAACAATATCGCTGAAAAGTATAGTCACATCCGGATAGGTCTTGGCATCTATTGAAGAGCCCAGCCATAATTTCTCAGCAATCTCAGCCGGAAAGATCAAATGCAAGAGGCTGACGTTCTTCTTACGTTCCTTGGTCACCGCCGAGTTCGCCTCCTCAATGCTGCTCTTCAACTTATCCATGCGACGACGTAGGCCATCCTGAGCACGTGCCTGCTCACCTACCAATATCACCTCACGCGTAGCATCGTGCAAGGGAATGTCAGAGATGAAAAGCCCGTTACAGGTAAGACCGTCTAAACCATCCAAAAAGGGGGAGCCAATGAATAGCAATGAATTCGATTCCGGGCAGTGCACCATTTGGCCCTTAATCTCCAAGCCAATGGCGGGAAAATCTGATACTCCCGGTGGGCTGTTTAGACCAATTAGAAAGGGCGTGTAGGTGCGTCGCACGATATCTCGAAATTTCATGGTCAAGCCCTTGGGGCGTTTAAAATCAAAGTAGGTGTTGGCCTGGCAGCCAAAGTCTGCCAAATACGGCTTATAGAGTTTGCTAAATCCGCGCCCCAGCTGCACCAGCTCCAGCTCCTCGTTCATGATGAAATGCCAGGGGAACATCTTGCAGAAGCTGGCCGAATTCATTTGTAGATCCGAAGCATTAGCCGAGTTACTGCGCTGAACTATATCATGCGGCTTCGTAGCCACGTCCGGGCGACCCATTTGTAGTGTCTGAGAGCTGTCTTTGACTAGAGAGAACAAGTAACGGTAGCGACGTGCATCATTCTCCACTGGTTCAATTTTAATATTCACATCCACCTTGTACAGCATGCGAGTGAGTGCCTTGAGGGATCCAAGCAGCAGCCATGCTATCACCGGACGCTCCGAGGTGAAGATTAACTCACCGTCCCCCGCGCATACAAAGCCCGTATCGGTGACGTCAGCCTGGATAGGTACGGAATAGGATTGAGGAAATTTTGAAGTCATGCTATTTATTGCAATTTACTAACCTCTTGCAACTTCAGTACATCGTATACCCCGTCCAGCGAGCCCAAAAACTCTTGAAGATCGGTGCCCAAACAGCGAAAGGCTCGCTCGATAATGCCAGTGCAGCAGCACGTGATCAGCTCCTCGCCGAGGAGCACAAGAATTTCGCTGGCGCTGGCCTCGTCCATCTTCAAGAGCAACTCTTGTATATCTGCCAGATAATCGTAGTTGGCGCAGTTCTTAAAGAACTTGGGATCCATTTTACTAAGGGTTAAGTGTTTGCATTAAGGTTAAAAGTAAAGTTGCTAATTGTATTGCTACTTACAGCTTATGAATGTTGGGCCAGCTCTGTCGATATTTGGCCACCAGTGAGGTGACAGCTGTATTGAGATCCTCATTGGATGGCGCTGTCAGCAGCTGTATGGCCATCTGCAGATGGGTCAGAGTCAAGGCATCACCTGCGAGAGACAGCTCCTCATCTTCTAAATTCCAATGAGCGCCAGGCTCCACAGTAACCGATGGTTGACGCGCCAGCGAGTCGGCGCGACGAAAGAAAGGACACGCCATACTGCGTGCGACTACTACTGATAGATATCTGTGAATCTGATGAATTGAGTGTCGGTCAAGGCTATTTAAAGTATTAAAAATTAAAACGATTTTAGTTAGCTATGATAAGGATCTTCCAATGTTATGAAAAGTATGTCACCACAACTTGTAGGTCTAAAAATATTATTGAGCTTGGTGTGGATGTACACACTGAGTATATCTATGTCATCTATACAAAGAATTCATGGTATCAGCCTGTTCATGATGTCAGCGTTGAATTATGTGAAAAAGCTGTTCAAGTTCAGCGTGCACTTATGTATGTATAGTATGTATGTGCAGTCGCATTTCTGCCTGTTGTTGTCTTTGTACGGGTGCCACCCACTGGCCCATAAAACCGTGGCTTCTATTCATCCCTCCTAATGTGCTGGTCGTGCAGCCGTCTTGAGTGGCTGCAGGATTTTCCGTCACTCTGTTCTTGTCTCGTCTACGTTTCTGGAGGTCGATTGTGAATATAATCAGCGTGTGCCAAGGCTCACACTTACTTTCATTAACAAAACCCTATTCATTTGCAAATTTTTGTTTAATTTATTACTTTTTTTTTTGTATATGTATGAGCCGGATGTCAGGTATAATTTGTGCCGCTCACTTTACCAACCTACGCTTTTTGTTTATTGCAGCAAGCACAAATACACTCACATTAAATGAAATTCACTTGGCAGGGAAAACAATAAAATTAAAATTTAAAGGGGTATCACATTAAAAAGGACGTGTAAAAGTAATAAAAAACTCACTAGAACAATGTCTAGCACAAAAAATTAGAAATCATTGCATACTTATTTTTTAGTGTTAGTATTTTAATTGCACACTTTTAAGGGGCGCAAGCCTAACTAAGAAATATTTGGGATTTAGAAATACAGTTGTACCCATCTGAGTATTTAAAATGTGTTCAGCATGCCTGACACCCCATTTCAATGGATACACAATTTTTCGAGCACTGGCAACTCTTGCATTGCTCTTATGATTGATTTGTCCCTTACCTGCTTCGCTTGATTAGCAATTTTTAATGTCCTCACAATTTTTATGTAATTTGCACTAATTTTATCTTTGTTGTGTGTTAGTTTTGTTAAAATTTTCCGAAACAACCTTAGAGTTTTTCGCTCGCCTGAAAAATGCCACAACTTAATACAGAATAAGCTTCGGCCAAAACTACACAGAAAAAGCTTGTATCAACTTTAATGGAGCTTTAAGCTTGTCTACTGCAGTGAAAGTGTGCAGAAATTGTTGCATTGTTTTGAAATTGTTATCAGTTAGGGTGTGAGTGAGAGGGATAGCACGCTACCACAACCAAATTTGACTTAAGTGACTTTGCGCATGACTTTTTCTAACCGTAAGGTTTGCTATTGGTGAAGCTTTATTCGCGGCTCATATGCCGCGCGCTGTACCGCACTTTTCGACTAATTAACCTGTTGCGTGAGCAAAAAGCACATACGCTGTTATTTTTTTGCCCACCTCTCTCTGCCGAGCATACTCTGTTTTTCTCTCTCTTTTATTCTTTGGCTGGCTTGCTTTTGACGCTTTTTCGCTCTGCAGCGGTACCTTACCTTGCCTACAGTTGTTTGTGTATCTGGCAGAATGCTTCTTATGTTGCACGTGGCCTACCGGCGCTCACAGCGCGTACTCTCTACATTCGTACTCACACACAGAGCGGCGGGCGAACGCAATCAATGTCAGAGCCGGACTAGCGTCCAGCAAGCGACGCAGCCAACGAGAAAATTATACGCTTTGATTCAGTATATTGACGTTGGTCAAAACTGCGCAACGTGTTTGCCTGTGCCGGTTGAATTATTGTTTTTGGGGGGCGTAACTGTTCCATCGTGCGAATCGTCACCTTGCTTGAGCGTTTGCAATAATATTTACTTCTGTGGAAGCTCAGAAAAACTGACGAGCTGAGCGCCAATTATGAGATACACTGTGCAGTTCGTAAGTAATTGCAGAAGTTAATTTTAAATTAGAAGCATACTAATACAGAGCAATGCGATATTCTGTCGCTGGAATTGCATTGCTTTGTTTGCCTTTCTGCTCGCTCCATTAGCGTTGTTGCTAATTTAGTTGATTTTTATGTATACGGTAAATTTACGTTTTTTTTTTGTGTGTGTGTGTGTGAGTGTGTGAGCTCGACACCTTGTGCATAGTGGATGCTTTATCTAACCACAAAAAAAGTAAAAAGAATGTGGAGCTTTCGTCCTTGACCTTGCTCACTACATCTCTTGTGCTCTGCGTCGCTCTCCCTCTCTTTCTCTAGCTCTAGCTCTGAGTGTCTTGCTACTGAAAGCTCACACATAGAAAGTACAAGTTTTTTTCATTTACAAACATTATTTTATGCTAATTTATTACATGAATGCCTTTGCGAGAGTTGCTAACCTATTAATCTAATCACCTATAATAGCGCTACCAAATTGGTAGTACCAATTGTACAAAGCTTATCGCTTCTTGTATATTTTTTTCGCACAAGTATTTAAGTGCTGATTAACGCTAATCGACTAATATTTTTGTTTAATACTTATCTTTAAGGCTACAATTCAAGCCCTGAAGCTATCACTATTTTTTATTAGTTTGGTGCTTTATTTTTCGCTGGTGCGTAAAGATCCAGAGGGGGAACTATGGACAACTGTGCTCAAGTGCTTGCCTATTGTGGCATTGATGTTTTATGTTTTGGTCAAAGGATTTTCGCTCAATAAGCAGTAAGCTGGCACTTATCTTGCTTGTGTACTATATATTTTTTATTGTAATTCTTTGTAATTTTAAGCTTTCGCCGTTCTCAATTGATTTTACTCGGCTTAGTGTTTTCCTGCGGCGGTGATGCCTTGCTCAATGTTAATTTATTTCCTTTTGGCATGGTCTCCTTTGGCGTGGCACATATCTTCTACATTAGCGCTTTCGGCTGGCATCCACTCAAGTGGGTTATTGGAGTTTGTCTTTATATACCGGTAACAGTTTGTAAGCAAATATTTTGAAAGTAATCACTTTTATATTTTTAATAATTATTATATTTCTGCATTGTAGTTGTCATCTTAGTGCACAAGCATTTGGATGAGGTACTAATAATCGGCGTGCCCATTTATTGTGTGCTGATTACCACCATGTTGTGGCGCTCGTTGGCTCGGGCAGTGGAAATAAAAAGTTTCCTGACAATCTTCTGTGCTGTCGGCGCTGTTCTGTTTGTAATATCCGATGCGCTCATAGCCGTGACCATGTTCTTAAGCGTACAACTGCCATCACCACGGCTGCTAATTATGATAACGTATTATGCTGCCCAGTTTGCCATTGCGTTGAGCACTGCCGATGATGGACCATCGCCGCCATGTAAGAATAAAAACAAATAATGTAGCTAATTGCTCAATTAATGTCCATAACGCAACCACCAAAATATGTACTTCCAAAATATTAGTGTAATAGTTAATGCCATTTAGTTGTGATAGTAAATGTTCGTTGAAAATAAATACCCATTTAAAAACGGTTTCGAATTTAACAGACGCTTTTTTGTTGTATGCAGCAGAGTTTTATAGCTATCAGTGTTTTGTAGCATTTTACTTAACGAGCTGCTTGCGACAAAATAGGGTGACCATTATTCGTGTTTATTTTGGCGTTTTCTGGCACTTTTGTATTACCGCTTTATCCAAGCGACCGGGAATTGTAATTTGTTATTTGTTAAAATTAATTAAACCAAAAAGAAGTAAAAATGGGTCCATCAGAGTTTAAATTAAACAATCCGCCCGAGGACCTAATATCGGCAGTGAAATTCGGCTCCAAGTCGAATCAGTATATGGCAGCTTCATCGTGGGACGGGACGCTTCGCTTTTACGATGTGGCGGCAAACTCAATGCGCCAAAAATTTGTACAGGATGCGCCAATATTGGATTGCGCCTTCATGGTTTGTCTTACATATATGTACCCAAATACACAGCGCTAACATATTATGTTCGTAACAGAATATTGTGCACGTGGTGAGTGGAGGACTGGATAATCAACTGCGTATGTACGATGTGAATACACAAGCTGAAACTCTGGTAGGTGCCCATGATGAACCTATACGCTGTGTGGAGCATGCCGAATATGTCAATGGCATACTGACCGGCAGCTGGGACAAGACAGTCAAGCTATGGGACATGCGCGAGAAGCGCTGTGTGGGCTCCTTTGAACAGAACAATGGCAAGGTTTACTCCATGTCCGTCATTGACGAGAAAATTGTGGTGGCCACATCTGATCGCAAGGTATTAATTTGGGACCTGCGAAAGACGGATAGTTACATTATGAAGCGCGAATCATCGCTGAAGTATCAAACGCGCTGTATTCGCTTGTTCCCCAACAAGGAAGGCTATGTGATGTCCTCCATTGAAGGCCGTGTGGCCGTTGAATACCTTGACCATGATCCTGAAGTACAGCGCCGGAAATTTGCATTTAAATGCCATCGCAACAGAGATCATAACATTGAGCAGATATATCCGGTTAACGCAGTCAGTTTTCATAACATTTATCACACATTCGCAACTGGAGGCTCCGATTGCATTGTCAACATTTGGGATGGCTTCAATAAGAAGCGTCTGTGCCAGTTCCACGAGTATGACACGTCCATATCATCGCTTAACTTCAGTGCCGATGGAAGTGCACTCGCCATTGGCTGTTCCTACTTGGACCAGTTCACAGAAACTCCAGCCACAGTGCCAAATCCGGCTATTTATATACGTTACCCGACTGACCAGGAAACAAAGCAGAAATAAATGCGCTTCCATAAATATTTTTATTGACTATTAATCTAAAGATGAAATATAATTTGCTTATAACTTTGATTTTAATTTAACGTATAGATCCTTAAGCAGCGACCACAGAATTTGGCCAACTGCGTAGCCCAGCTCGGCAAAGCTCAGTGCCGAGGCGCCCACATAAAGACCCAGAATGCCACCAAAGCCAGCGACCCAATCATGGAAGGTGTACTTCAATTTAGTTTCTATCTTCATTAACACACGCTGGGTGTAATGTATATCTGCTCTGATGCGTCTTGGTGGCAGTGTGTCATTTGTTGTATTGGAGCTGTGGTGTTGAATAGGCGAGCAATTAGGCTTAAATGAGCTAGCAGTGGACTCCAACTTACTTAATCAATTGGCGCACATTCAGATATATTTGGTACACCTGTGTGTTGCAGCTATCTGGGCACGTGCAAAACTGACCACGGCGGGAATCATTAATATACTTTTCCTGGCCACGTGTCTTCACATACCCAAAGACGTCGGTGTGACGACTAAGGCATGGAAAGTCCAGCACGTTGCATTCGCGAGTATCATCTGGATGGAAGTTCAGTCCTTATATCAGATTTATTTTAAAACTATCTTCAACTTACCAATGGAGGGAAGGTGTATAGGCAAGGTGCATTTGCAATGGTGGTGCACGGACCACTGTAGGCAGGTGGCAACGCAGTTGGCACGGCTGTAGGGCAGACTCGTATACGGAAAGTAGGGATGACGCTCGTTCTATAATCAAATTGTATATTAATTGTTTTTAGGCTTTTGTTGATTTGTGCACATACATCAAAATAGCAGCGCCGCTTGGCGGGATCCATTTCGTAAGTGTTTGTGGACGTTTGTATGACCACCGGATCTAAGGACAAAAAGTTTTCGGTGTTTGAATAAAGAGGGTAGACCATGCTGTGTGACCACTGCCTGGGCTCCTTGATCATTAGCTGAAATGCAAAAGAAGATTATTAATGCCAGTTGTGCGATAATTTAAATGTCTTGATTGTCAACCCACATTCATAGAAAAGGGCACCTGAGTGCCCGCCCGCAAATAGGAGTCGTTCATGCGCAGCATGAACTGTAATCCAGAGCCTTCACCGGCAGTGCTAAGTTTGTAGGGATAAAACTCATTGATAAGCTTCTTTTTGCGTGAGTCTTCCGAAATCAGGGAGTTGAATACCAAGCACAAACCCTTCTCAGTGCGCTCCTGCACAAACAGCTGGCAGCAGTCGTAGTGGGTTTCATCGAAGACACACGAATCCGGCACAAAGAGCTCGTCGCAGCGGTATGCCAAATAGCTGGCTAGCTTGGAAAGGCTCAGTTGGACGAGCGAAGACAGGTTTCGCTCAGCTAGCGCGCCAAGTGTCTGAAACTTTCCAAAGGTCAGCTGCTCCATGCCAATGAGCAGCTGCTGAAAGGACTCGCGCACATATGGATCAGCATTTCTGGGCAGAAAACGGTCCGCAGCCGTTGAGGCGCGCAACCAGTTAACATGATTCCAGGGACAAATAGCAACAGCCGGGAACTCTACATTATATACCGGTAACTGTGTCGTTGCCACTACACTAACCAGCTGCTGCTCATTGTGTTGGTGCTGCAATATGGAGAACATGCTCAGGAAGCTTATCGTACCCAACAGCACGATTATAAACCAAAAGTAGCGCACACTACGATGCTGCTCCATAAAGGCATTCTGCATGCCGTGAATTGTCGAGTGGGCAAAGGCGCGACGCAACATGCTCTCATATTTATTCCGCAGCGGATTAGCTATAAAGTGGAGCAGACCCGTCTTTGATTTGGGTCGCGGCGCTACAAGTTCCTTAGAGTACAACATGGTAACTGAGAAGTGCTCGGTGAAGTGCTGACATCTTTATTCTAGTCAATAATAGTTGTGTAGGCGTGTAGGCTAAGTGACAAGACTAAGGAGTACGCTGTATATGCCAATCATAGTTTTTATTAATGAAATTACAAAATTGATGGTTAGTTAGAAGCTTAATGTACTTAGTTGTAACTTAGGATTTGGGCGCCAGGCTCTGCTGCACTAGCTGCAAATGATTTTTTAGGAGACAGTCGGCACCGCGCCATGCCCATTCGCAGGCATTCGAGCCCTGCTCGTTCTTATCTAAGCAGGCAGCAATCTGGCCATGCAGCTCATCGTCGTGGTTCGCATTTCCGCGTGACAGCTGCGTATGAATGTTCTCTACATTAAAGCCGGATTGGACATCGAAGAGACCGAACTTGGTGAACACGCATTTCAGATAACACTGTGTCTTGGCATCGTTGGGATACACCCATTTCTGATATTGCTCGACGAGCTCAGTTGGCACACCCAGTTCCTTGACGCACTCCTCGCGGTAACTCAGCATATTATCTTTATTCTTGACGACATACTCGGCTGAGGCCTACGAAACAGCACGTTGCTTAAAACATGCATTGGTAAATCCGTTGTCTAAAGTACTCACCAAGCTGAACAGCATGCAGACGGCAACGAGAAATTTCATTTTGATTCTTTTTGTGCGAGGCTCAACGATCAAACTTGGACTGTGCACAGTTGTCGGGCGGAACAACTATTTATACCCGTCTGGTATGCTTGCTTTTGTTAGGGTTTCGCTACCTACTTAGCTACGTTAAGTGACGAGGGAGATTTTTTTAACGGCAATGCGACATTTAAATATCCTCATTTTTAATTGGTAAGCTACGGTTTAAAACGGGTATAATGGATGCATTAAAACGACAGAAGGCACTATCGCTCACCATATAAATTATATATATTCTAGGTTGGTATCTATATCCAAGTCAATTAAGCCATCTACACAGATGGAGATGGTCCATCTTTCTTTACGCAAGCGACGATCTCGGCGACTATAATACGGTATAGGCGTGCTTACTTACTTGTTCATCTCTCTATATAAATCGTTTTGTCTTGGAAGCTGAAATTTGTATTGTAGTTACGATATGGCGGGGTTTAACAAATTCCACCCGCAAGTGTGTTTTTCCGACCTCAAATTTATATTTACACTTCTTTGTTCAAATTCATTTTAGAGGTGTTGTACACTTCTCAGAAAATGCAGCCTTCTTTGGGGGTCAAAGACATGTTAGTCGAAGTTTCAATTGATACGTGTTTCACATATTTCTCAAAAAAATGGGCGAACGTGCTGATTTCAACATCGTTATGCGTCTAAAAGCTGATTTTCAAATGTTAATGAAAAAATTTAACTTTGGAAGAGGAGTTCAAGATAGATAGATTAGATTTTAATTTGCCACGGTCGAGAAATGGGTGGAAAACTGATCTTAAAAATGTAAGCCAAAAATACCTGTAAAATATAGTTATCATTCATCTACAAACGGTTTTCAAAAAAACTACTCGTTGAAGTTGAAGTTTCAGTTAAAAAATTAACAGAAAATTAACTGAATAAAATGTGAAGTATTTTAATTTTAATTAACCTTTGCAGGTCTTTGGAGAATGCTTCCTATAAAAAAAGGAGCTAGTAATATTGAGCATTGAGAAATTTATTTAGTTTATTTAATATTTTAGGCAAAACCAACATCATGTCGTAGTCAATATACTTAAAATGTATGAGAGTACGTTTGTATTTTGATGAAGTAAGTGCTCTTTAGCGATGTGATTAAATTAGGTTCAAAGAACTTGTGGTGACCTGCAGATAAGCCCAAAGCTGCATGATGAGCATTGGATCCTCCATGAGGGTTTCGATTGAAATCTTGTTGTCGGGTCGTATACATACACAAAGCAAATTATATTGAACTGCACAGAATGCGCTACACAAAGATTCTTAAGGTATTTGCGTTAGAACAATCAATTGAATTTGTGGAAATTTCCCATTGCGGATGCAGGTAGCTGAAATTTGAAATCTAAAGAGTTCTCTTGTAAATGCAACCAGGTGTTTACTTTTTTTTTTTTTTTTACTGATTTCATCTATATTCCTCTATCCCTGCTATTCAATCATGTGTTGTTGTTGCAGGTAAAGAAACGTGAGACCATATGAGCCTCGCGATCAGGTTTAATGGGTTGTTGTATGGGCTTGCTGCAACAAGGAATTCGATCCAACAGGCTATTAATGGCCCCGAGTACTGAAAGACCCAGGAACAAACCTGCTATGCCACCATAAGAAACTGTGGAAGAGTAAAAGCAATCAGCGAATGGAAAGTGCTGGATAGCCAAAATAAAACTCACCCATCAAGTCGAGCATTGTTATGTGCAGTGTGGAGCGGTAGGAAAAAAGTGTCTCCTCCTGAAAGAAGACGTCAACTTCTATAAAGTTATTCTTGCTTTCCATGCTGCTCAGACGATCCGTGAATGTGGCGGCATGATACTGAGTATGAGTACAGTTGGGATAGCACTTGCAGTCGGTGGTATTAAAGACATTGTCTGTGGACTCCTCAATTATGTTGCCCATGTAAAACAGCGACACTTTTGAAAAAATCTTGATTTAGCCTTAATTATAATGCTGAAAATACAGGTACTCCTAGATGTTTACCTCCATGTTTTTGCATGCACGGCAAATCGGCCACTGTACATGTGCGGATCGGCTCCTCCGTCAGCAGATAAATACTCTCTGGTACAAGGCTATGGCCACATTCACACTTCTTTGATATGTAGTGTAGATGGCATTCGATTATGCATTGCGAATACGATTTAATTAGCTCCTCCGTAAAATAACAATAGCGCATATGCACTGGGCGTGCCTTCACGGCCGGCTCGGCTGTAAAATGTATCGGCTGCAGAGCCACTACAATGCGATCATCCGAGGAATAAGTGACACTGGAGCCCACATACTGACTTGGCTCTTGTACGATGACCTTGGATAGAAGAATTTTGTTGATGAATAATATAACTGATTTATAATTCAGTCGCAAAAAATGTGTTAAACTTTGCTTCCATCAAATGAGCGGATTATTAGAGTTTATTAGTATATAGGGCATACTGGTATAGGGCAGTATATATATATATATATATTAGAATCACCTGATCGGATCACTAAATGAAGTTCTTGTGTGAATAACTCATTTGTTAGGGATTCCACTTCGTTTCTTAAATTTAACGAAATGTAACTTTCATTGGATAAATATGCAAAATTATATATATGTGCGGTCAAATCCTTTTCTGTTGCTATGTGGAGAAATGTGTATCTGCAAGGGTGTTAATTAGCCTTTTCTCTTTTGTTATTATTATACCAAGATTAAATAGATGCAAAGTTGCTGCATTGCGGACATAAATAAATAATTGTTCAATAAATTATGTGTTTGACATATTATTGCAGTAAATACCTTAAGCTTTTAGTGCGTTTAAGAACTATGACAGTTAGAGTATCAGAAAGTACGAGTACAAAACAGAGTCGAGGAAAAAATTGGGGTACTGATTAGTATGATAAGCATGCTGCCTATTCTCTTGTCACATTATATAATCATTTTTTGGTATGTCACACACACCCCCTATTTTTCTGATAAACAGGAAGTGACATTGAGAGTTCTATCTATTGATGACAGTATAAACTGGCTGGTATACATACATTAGTTGGTTTCTACAAATTGATAGATACATATTTTTTTGAGTCCTTTGTTTTCACGCTTACCCCAATGGCCTCCAGCCTGATGTCATGTATATAACGATTGATCTTGATATTTAGGGCACTTTTGAAACCAGCATCGCCCACTGACCAGGGCCATGTAGGATCGGGATCTTCGGCATGTATTGAGTTGAATACATAACAGGAGCCGATCTTCAAGTTTCTAAATAGCATGCTGCAGCAATCTACCTCTCGGCGTCGCCACATGCACTGCACAAATAGATCCTTGCAGCTGTAACCATAGTTAAAGATGCTATCAACATTAAGCAATGTTTGGTTATTAAACTCTTCGAATTCGTTAAATTCCAGCTGTGCGGCCTGGTCATCTGCTGGGGTGCGCCAACGAATGCTCTGCACTAGATTATAGAGTCTATGTAGCCGCTGCTTTCTGCTATTTTTTTCTGTGTTATTGAGACTGTTAAGGGTTAAGTGCGTGGGACAAATGGTGATGGCTGGAAAGGCAATCTCTGACACGTGAACATCTGTGCGATCGATTGTGGTCTGAACCCAGTACTTGAAGTAGCGCTCCGAGGATAATATACAGACGTAAATGGTCATCACGGCCCCGACGAGCATTAGTATAATGCGGGCTAACCTGCGGGTAGCAATTGCAAAAGAGTTAAGTGTATAATTTAACCAGATAAGTGCTTACCGTCGAAGACAGAGGCATGTATCCTTTGGCCCAGTATTGGTCGGCTTGTCATCATCATTATCGCCATTGACATCAGAAGACTTAATCGCTGTACTCATTTTGATGAACTGATTGACAGGCGTGGCAGTTAATCAATGAACAGCAGCGTTGATATCAATTTCAAAAGTTCATAGCCGGATATCTGTCAATGGGCACATCAGGCCACCGAAACATAACAACTCAATTACAGAAGTTGTTAGGCATAATGGATATCTAGTCATAAATTCAGCACGGCAATTACAACACCAAACTTTTATGGGAATCGCATTAATAAAGCCAGAGCGAGCTGTCAGCATGCACAGTAACAAAATGGTTAAGGCAGAGAACGCTGCCAAGTTGGATAAGGATGTGGAGAGGCGTTTTATGGAGCTGGTTCGCGAATACTTTCGCTACTACTGTGAAAGATCAACCATACACTGTGTACGCTATCTTTACGATCCGAGGCTACATAATGTTGAGAGGTGCTCCTTACGAGTTCTACGTCAGGCCAACTAACTAATGTATTCTAAAAGTAGATTCATCTGGAGCGTGTTGCTCATCATTAGCGTTACGCTCTGCTGCTCCTTTTATATGCTGCTTTCGGAGCGTTATGGAGCGCAGAAGCTGCAAACAGTAATTGACGATTCGCAGTATCCAGTCTTCTATGTACAATTCCCGGCTGTGGGCGTCTGCACGGATAACCGCATCAACTGGAGCAAGCTTAATGCGGCCAAGGCACAGTTTCTGCCGGTAAATGCTACTGAAGATGTCGTCGAAGTATTTACGACTCTAGTTACATACCTGGAAACGCTGAGGTTTGCCAACTTTGAGTATAGCACTTCCGAAATGGAGGATGAACATCTAGAGATTCTGGATTTTATCAACATAAGCGCATTGGCCCACTTCCTGACGATACGCTGTGAGGATATTCTGGTGCCTGGCTCTTGTAAGTGGCGACAATCGTCCTTCAATTGCTGCGACTATTTTGTGCTGGAGAAGACTGAGTATGGTTTCTGCTTGGTATTCAACTCGGAACTATCGGATCGTTCAAAGGAAATTAAAAAGCGTGAGGGCGCCGCTTACTATCCGAAGCACAACGCCAAGGCCGGTCAGAGCTCGGGTCTCAATTTCAATTTACTGCTGGATGAGCGTTTTAAGCGCCCACATACTTCAGCCACGGATAACGTGTTTGTGAATAGACCGCACATTTATCTTGACTACTTTTTATTAAACTTGTCAACTTGCAGATTATGATCAAGAAGCCAAACCAAGTATCTAACGCGGTTTACTCCATAACGCCCAACACTGAAACTCATGTGTCTGTGCGGCCTCTGTTGACACGCACCGACAACACCACGCGCAACATTCCGCCGGAGCGTCGCAATTGCCACTTCACGGACGAGCACGTTGATTTTGGCATCAGCGTTGCTCCGGGTCGCTTTAGTAAGAGTTTTTTGCTTTCCAACTGCCTTACCAACTGTCATGAGTCCTATTTGGTCAAACTGTGCAATTGCTCACTGCCAATTTTCTTTCTAAGCAATCAGAAAGGTGAGCGACCACTCCATTGGATACTGCTGTCTCACTTATGACTTTTTTCTGCACTTTAGCCAAGAACTGCACTGCGTCCAGTCTGCGCTGCATTTCGCGTCACAATGGCAAGGCCCAAACTTTGCTTCTTGGCAACTCGAGCAGTATTTATTAAAATGTATATTGCAGATATTTTTGGTTATGACAAGCACTTGGAGGAGGATGATTACTTCAGCGCCACCAAACCGGGCATGATCTGTCCCTGTCTGGTCAACTGTAATCTGCTGGAGTACTATACGTCCACAACAACGCTGCCATTGTCTTCTAGAGAATTGTAGAGTTATTCTATAAAAATTAATTGGCAATATTTTCATAACTGTTATTCTGTGCTACATAGGCCCGCATCACCGACTCTAAAGTTCTTCAAGGTGGATGTGCATTATCAAGTGGAAATGATGATAACGTTTCGCACAAGCCTCGAGTTTAGCAGCATTGATTTGATTGGTACTTCAGTTGCAATATAGAATTTTAAATAGTATATGCACATACATACCATATATTTATTTTCTCTCCCAGCTAATCTTGGCGGAATATTTGGCCTCTGCCTGGGCGCCTCTATGGTCAGTTGTGTTGAGCTGCTCTACTTCTTAACTGTCGGATTTGCTCTACACCTTTATCATAACAACTACTATGTCGTTCTTCGTAAGAAACTCAAAGCGATGTGGTCCAAGGGGATGCGTTACTTGCGTAACGAAGTGAGTCACATTCACCAGGAAGCGGAATCTGGTCCTGCGGAATCACTGGCCAAAAGCAAACTGCGGCATCCGTTTAATAACAGAACCAACGCGTGGTGAATATTATATTCTTGTCTTTCTTTATGGATGTCTTTATTTTTACTAACAAACCAATAAGTTATTTCATATGTATTTGAGTTACAATGCCGATATTTCGCTTGATAATGCTCATCTAATTCTTAGTTCTACATTTATATATCCTTTTGCACGAAATATGTAATGCATTGAAGATGTCGGTTAGATTTAATAAAACTCGAAAATCGATTGAAAGCTGAAATCTTTTTATCAAGTTTTAACATAGTAATTGAAACTCAGAATTTAATAGGCTGGTAGAAAATTCAATACACTGAAAATCTTAGTGCCTATATAATACCAAACATCTTATGAACAACAATGTTGTGTGTACAATACCAAAGTTATATTGCGTCCATTACCATAGGGTTACGGTATTTAATTATCGACACATCAAAAATAACTCTGCGTTCTTGTTTTTATTATTTAATATCAATAAACAATTTTTTAGGTGTTATCTTGCGGCGGAAGTGCAGTGTGATGGGAGCTGTAGGTAGTGGTGTCAGTGGGTGTTGATTGGACTCTCTGTTGCCGCGATATAAATATAAATAGAGGCCAATCGTAAAGTAGTAGACCAACTCGATTGCGCTAAGGAGCGAGGCGCCAAGAAATAGACCAATAATGCCGCCAAAGCTAGCTGTAATTTAGGGATATAGACTTTAATTTTTACATTGACTGAGTAGTGTATGGAACCCACCCAGAAGTTCCACAAAAGTGAAGCGCATATGCGTCTGGTATTTGATAAACCAAGGTGATTGAAAGAAAACTTCCAGGTGCATGCTAATAACTTCAGCATTTAGTTCTTGGGAGCTACAATGTGGAATTGTTATGGTCTGGTTAGGATATACTAAGGAATACTGACTTACTCCATAGCACTGTTGCTGAAGATGGTATCGTAAACCAGCTGAGAACAGCTGTTTAGGCAGTCACAGTTCATGCTATCCTTGTACACGTTATCCACGTATTGCTGCTCCAGTGGAAGGCGTTCCACGCTAAAGGTCACTAAAAGGAATACAATGTTGGTTTCAGAAGGAGTTATGCATGTGATAAGACGTCTATATCTTACATCTGTGTTCGTAAAGACATTTAAAGTCAGAGGCCTTGCAGTCCGTAAAGTTATCTGCAGTGAGTCAGTCTAATTAGTTAAAGAAGTCAACCCAAAGTCAAGTTCATACTCACCCCCTGGACTGCGGGGAAAGAGCAGAGATGGTGAGCACTTGCACAGGTCAATCACATGCTCCTGGTGGCATTTTGTGCGACAGTTGCCACGCCAGTAAACAAAGCCCGGTAGATTCTTGTAGTGCGGATCGTGAATTTCATCAGGGAAAATGCAACGTCTTACCCTTGCCGTGAGGACTCGAGTTCTTGAATCGGAACCAGTGTAGCGGGGCGTCACACTGATTCTGTTATGGGAGTCGTGTGGCACCCAGCGTGCTGCCTCGCTCCATTGTTGCGGCTGCTTTACCATAACGTATACACCACGCAATCCAGGCTTAGCTAGTGTTTTGTTAAGGGCCATGACTACTTCTAGGCCAGTGCCGGGGCCAGATTGTGCAGTGTGGCGTGGATAGTACTTGTCTTCCCTCTATTAAGGGGATACTTACGAATTATCAAATTATTTTCAGTTTTAAGTACCCACCTGTCGTTGTCGCATCTGTGCACTGACTGCCGAATTAAAGACCCAGCAAATGCCCAATTCGGTGCGCTGCATTTCGAAAATCTCACAGCAGTTGTGCGGTTTGCCCCGCCAGTTACACTCCAAAAAGATATCGCCGCAATCTAGATTCATGTACTCCAATACCTTTGTCACATCCAATCCATCCAGCTGGCTAATACTTGCTGCAAGGGACGAGTTCTTAAAGAAGCTCTCCAGGCTCCGCATATCATTGAAGTGCATAGCAGAGGCGGCCGTAAAGAAGCTTTTAAAGAGCTCTTTCTGTTCCGCGGTGGCATTGGTACCCATAAAGAAAGCTGGCACCTCTTCCTGCAATCTTGGCCAATTGATGCGACTGCGTGGACAAATGCCAACAGCTGGGAAATGCACATAGAATACCGGCAGCATGCTGTCTTCGATGGTTGTGTGCACACGCGCGGAGTTGTATAGCTCGGTCAGGTCAACATAGACAATTGTGGCGCATATAAAGGTGCCTACCAAAATCAGTAGCCATATCAACCTAAACAGTTGAGCAGTTTAAAACGAAAAAACAAATAACGCTCATTTTGCTCCATAAAAGTATTTATAAGAAGAATAAGTTAGCGGCAATCGAAGGATTGCAATTTCAGTTAAGGTCACAGTCATACAAAGGTTCTCTAACTACTTAGTTGGGAGACTAGGAAATAACCTATATCTAGAACTGAATTGTAGTTTCTGCTCTTGAAATTTTGACAACACATTCTTTCATTCAGAAGCTATGAACTTGCAACGAAAAAAAGTCAAATGCTTCTCTTTGAGTCGATTGAACATCTTGGTTCAATGTGTAAATAATGTTTTTATTCTGGGAAACCAAGAGATCTTTTTTATTTTATGCCCTATTGTATGTATCCATTAACATATAAATTTTGCTTATTTTAGAGCTTTTAATTCTTTGAAGTCTTCGACAAATACGAACATTATTTTAAATATTGATTTTAACTATAACAATGTGACGTTGATGTCCTGTAATTAGCCCTAGATGCTATTTAAGCAG